AGCCAACGCAGGGATAACGGCGGCTTTGACGGGAAGGGGAAAACGTCCGACCTGCGACGCATCTATCTCGGCCGATTTTGCCCTCGAGTTTGATCCTCTGCAGCTCCTCCTCCAAGATCACCTCGTCAGCTTCACCGATGTATTTCGCCAGCGGCGGTTGGGGCAGCAGGTTGTGCTTAAAAAAACAAACAAAAAATCAATAGTGAAACATACATCAAAACAAATATATTTTCGGCTACAAATATATTTCAATTTTTTTCCCCTACCTCCTCGCTGATCTCTTTCAGAATCGACGGCTGCAGCTCCATCCGCTTGAACAATGCAACACTGCTCTCCTGTCTGAAGATGACACAGCCTCCTGATAGCCACATCTGATCCTGGAGCAGTAAACAAATAATATATTAATCAAACTAGTCCCAAAAAACGCCCCCTAGAGGGTGAAGGCGGGAACGCGCGTCCCGTTTTTTACCCCATTTGTTTTCGGCTCTCTGTGACAACAGGGGCCTCATCTGCATCAGCCGCGCGGCGTAAATATGAGCGTACTGGCGACTGAAGCTTCGCACCAAGACCGTGTAGCGCTCGGAGCGGGGGCGGTAGCACTGAGACGCCCTCTCGAACACCGGGCCCTGGTCCTGGTCCTCGGAGGAGGCAGGACGGCAGAGGAGAGAGGAACCCCGCTGCTGGGCGCTCAGCTCCGAGAACATGACGGACCTAAAGCAAACGAGACACTAGCTTGTCATTTAGCTTCCGTTTCGGAAGCATGCTAAATGTGTTGAAATATCGGTGTTCTTACCGTCGATAATTAGCGTATCCGAACCGACTTTAAATTCGAGTTTTTACTGATTGCTCCTTTTGCAAAATTAAAGGAAACAATTCCCGCGGAATCCAACTTCTTCTTCTTCTCTTGTGAACACACTTCCGGTAGGTTCTAGACCACCGAGAGCGCTATACTGCACTCTACTGTCCATAAAGAAAAGCCGCTCGTACGTTATTAATACATTTGAACCCTTGTATTTTTATTTATTTATGTATTTTACAAAAACTAAGATTTCCAGTAAATTAATAAAAAAGGCGAGACCAAGCGTTATCCCTTCATTGTCCGCAATATATTCGTTAAAAACAGTTCGCGAACCAACCCGTCACACATTAATGAAACGATACGAATTTAATAAAAAAAATTAATAAAGCGTTATCGATATCGTTCTGTATCTGTAACGACGAATTTCACGCGATATTACATTGGTTTTTATGGCGTAAAAAACGCAAACACATAATTCAAACGTAGTAAAGAAACTGTAACGTTGTCACAAAGGCAAATACTACTACGAATATATATTTTATTATTTTAAATTGAGGAGAAAAAAGTTTGTTTTTTTTTGTTTTTTGGGGGATATTCGCCGCCGTCGCACAAAATATACGTCATACATTTATTTCCCCAGCGTCACGCACTGATAAGGTCACAAACAGTCGCTGCTGTACTCCTCGCCATATTCGTTGGTCTTTGTGCGCCATCCTATATTCACTGTTTGTTGTTTTTGTGTGTGTGTGTGTGTGTGTGTGTGGTGTTTCTAGAACAATTATTTCCCCAGCGTGGAACTTAGTTTGTCGCGGAGAATGCAGGGAAACAAAGTCCCTCAGCACAACCACGGCCTGAACCGCCCGGGGGAGCAGAAAAAACCCGGCGGTATGAACACCAACGGCCAGCAGCCCGAGCCCGGCGAGCAGAGCAACCGTAACGAGGCCTTAACGCTGGACATCAAGAGCTTCCGAAAACCCGGCGAGAAAACGTTCACCCAGCGCAGCAGGCTCTTCGTGGGGAACCTGCCGACCGGCGTCACCGAGGAGGAGCTGGGGAAACTCTTCGGCAAGTACGGGAAGGCGACCGAGATCTTTGTGAACAAGGAGCGGGGCTTCGGCTTCATCCGACTGGAGACCCGAATCATAGCCGAGATCGCCCGAGCCGAGCTGGACGATACCCAGTTCAGAGGCAGGCCCATCCGGGTGAGGTTTGCGACACACGGCGCCGCTTTAGCCGTGAAGAACCTGCCGGAGTTCGTGTCGAACGAGTTGCTGGAGGAGGCTTTCGCCGTTTTCGGTCAGATAGAACGAGCCGTGGTCATAGTGGACGACCGCGGGAGACCCACGGGGAAGGGTATAGTGGAGTTCACCTCGAAGCCGGCTGCAAGAAAAGCCATGGACAAGTGTAACGATGGTGCCTACCTCCTCACAGCCTTCCCCCGGCCCATCACGGTGGAACCCATGGATCAGTTGGACGAGGAGGAGGGTCTGCCGGATAAGATGGTCACCAAAAACCAACAGTACAGCAAGGAGCGGGAGCAACCCCCCCGGTTCGCCCAGCCGGGCACCTTCGAGTACGAGTACGCCATGCGCTGGAAGGCTCTGATGGAGATGGAGAAGCAGCAGTACGAAATGGTGGACCGCAACATGAAGGAGGCCCAGGAGAAGCTGGAGGCCGAGATGGAGGCGGCCAGACACGAGCACCAGGTGATGCTGATGAGGCAGGACCTGCTGAGGCGCCAGGAGGAGCTGAGGAGGATGGAGGAGCTCCACAACCAGGAGGTGCAGAAGAGGAAGCAGGCCGAGCTCCGGCAGGAGGAGGAGCGCCGCCGGAGGGAGGAGGAGATGAGGCTCCGCAACGAGGAGATGATGAAGAGGCAGCAGGAGGGCTTCAGGGGCAACTTCCCTGAAAATAGGGAGCAGGAGATGAGGATGCACATGGGCAACCACGGCATGTCCATGAACAGGAACTCTCTGGGCATCAATTCCGGTCCCGGGGGTGCTGCCGGCATGGCGGCCGAGAATCCTTCGATGATGCAAGGGTCGGGGAACAACAACATGGCCGGAGGCGGCCAGGGCGGCTTCCCCCGGGGGGTCCCTGGACCTGGGGACTATGGACCTAACAACAAACAACGTAGATTTTAAATCATTATCGTCCGTATTGACCTGGGGACTATGGACCTAACAACAAGCAACGCAGATTTTAAATCAGATGCATTATCGTCCAAATTGTTTCCCGTTTCCTGTTTTCATACCTACATGTTTTACAGTCGAGGTAGTGGGGGGGCGGGGTTACTCTTGAACATTAAAAACTATTGCATGTATTTTTTTAAAATTTCTTTTGTGTACTTAACCATTTTCATTTCTGTAGTAAAACCTAAAATGACAAACAAATGAGCCATGTTTTTTATAATTCGTTGTCGTTGCTAACGTGTTGACGAAGTTTTCTGGAATAAATTCAACCAATTTCCCGAATAAATACTGTCTTATTTAGAGAACAGACACTTTGACTCCGTCATTAACGTCCAGAATGTCGCGGCGTTGACGGAAGGTGGTGCTAAAAATATGCGGTTGAAACACGTGACGTCAGTCATAGATTTGATGACATTAAAATAAAGAGTACTCTCGAAAGAGTTTTTAAAATATCGAAAACTGAAATTAAATCGTTCTTCAAACGCTGTTTCAGTCATCTTGGAAGAATCAATGGGGAGGAGGAGATAAACAAGATAATAGTACGGTTATAGCATGTAAAAACGTAAACACGCCATGCTAAGCTAATAATTGTATTAAGTTTAGCAGTGGCTATCAAAAAAATGCCCAATAAGCTAACATTCATTTGAAGTAAATGTATTTGTGACTGCGATATTAAATGTACTGTTTACTCACAGGAGACTTCTGGGAAACGGTCCAACCGGAAACGCGTTCGGTGACTCATTAATGTCCGAGGAAATGATAACGAGTGAACAAATAAAATCTGTTGTTCAAACAGTGATTAGTCGGAGAAAAAAAACCCTAGAAGACCTCAAACATAAGGATGAAATCGATTGGTCGATACACGTCATTACTTTTTTTTTTTTTTCACGGTGGACGACAGGACATTTTGAACCCGGCGCTAAGAGTATAGGACAGGGCTGTGACGTAGACAACGTTTGTTTTAATAAACGGACCGTAACGATAACGTTACCGTCCGGTAACCGATAATGACACGAAGTTTAATATGTGTCGAGTGCTTTATTTACGCTGAAACCGCCAGAGGGCAGTGCTGGATTCTGCTATTAGCCACCGAGCTAACCTAGGCTAATAACAAACATGGCGACGGTTGAGGACGTTGTGACGTCGTTCTCTGGGATTCACTGAACACAGAGCGGCGTGCGGACGGAGATTTCTCCTCCCTGTTCTTTTTCTGTCGTTGTCGTCACTGCCCCCACGATTTCTAGCGGCACCAAAATGTACTGTGCTAAAATATTAACTACAAGTTAAACTGGTGATTAACTTTTGAGTAAGGCGGTAAAAAAAATATCAGAAATAATTAACGAAATGTGGAGCTATTTTTTTTTCACTTTTCCTCCAGAGATAACTGCACAGGCTGCTGATAATCAATATCTCTCCGAGGGAAACTCCCTTTTTGCCCACAATCACGGTCCAAAAAGTCACGATAACTGTCGTGTCCCACAATCAGAGCAGCGATAAA